TACAAAGGTGATAAATACACAAAAGAAATGGAAATTATTGATTCAGTTAAGCACAAAAAGAAATAAATAGAAATCAGATGGCACTTGCACAGTAATATAGTAGTAACATAACAACAGTTTAGCATAGGTTAATTAGTTTAAATTATGGCATAAGTTCCTGGCTGTAGATATCTACTCCAAAAATATTGACTTAACATAATGATGCTATGAGTTGTAAATGTCTTCCCAAGCTTAGAGCATAGTAACTTTTCACAATTAACTGACAACAACACAATATAGCATGTGATAAGACCTAATATCCATTCTGAGAGGAGCTAGCACATGATTCTTCAATTAATGGAAAATACTTATAAAGCCCTTGAATGTCTCAAATATGGTAACTCCCATAAGTACTTAAGCTTAGCTCAGTTACATTAGGTCATTATTTCCATGAAGTGTAAGGAAGACAAAACCTTTTGAGAAAATCTGCACATAACATTCTATTGGGAGGACTGTTTAGTAATGAAAGGAAAAAATGGCAAAGAGACGTCTATTCATCAGCAAAGCTATCCCAACAACTCAATTGCAAGGCAATATTAAAAATAGGGCCCCAAAATCATATCCGCAAGTAATGTATTCCAATTGGTCCATATCACTAACAGATTTCCAGAAAAATTTCAATGTTCAGATCTATTTTCAATTCACAAGTACAATCCATTCAGTTAAAAACCTACTCAAATTTCAGTACATCGATTTGCATTCATATTTGTTTTCTGGAACACCCCTTCCCTCTTTTTTATCTAGCCAGACAACAAACATTTGATTAGCAATACATGGCCGTAAGAAGTGGTTAAAAGCGTATCAAGGGAAATAAATGGCAGTAAAACAAATTGATAGAAAGCAGTCAAAAACATAATCCAAGCTTGAATATATGATGACTGGGCACATGAAGAATAACCTACCCCGGGTGAATTTCTATTGTCTTGACCTTCTTCGAAGAGAGATGAGTAATAGGCTGGATCATATATAGAGCCGCCTAAAACATCATCAGATCCCGAGCATTGTCTAACTACAGCAGGAGTTGAAGGACTTAAGAAACTGTTTCTTAAATCAAAATCTGCTTCCCGTGGTGCTGTAGCATCTACATAAGAAACCCCCAGCCTGTAAATCTGAATCCATAAGAGTGAGGATGACAACCTCACGGAAAAGCCAGCAATCTGCATTGCCAGTGTGAGCTTTACGGAAAAAATAAAATATATTCCATAAGTCTCGGAAGAAATGGTCCTGTACAAATAGGATAATGCCTTTGGTTAAAGCAGAGAAGGATTGATAATCACGGTCTCGAATTCAATCCAGATATAGTTTATGAACGCAATTAAAGAGACAAACATGTAATAAGAACGTACTAGGTTCCAACCCGGAACAAAGATAAGTAGTCCAATTAGAAGACAAACTTTACCGAAAAGGAGGTACATACAATCTGATGAAGGAAATAAAAACAAGACTGAAAAAGAGAAGACGAAGAAGACGCACCAAATATCACGAGAGAATAGAATAAACCAAGAAATGTCGAGGAGAATGGCGCAGAAAAGAAGAACAGCGTAGGTGCGGCCGAGGCTCTGACTGCTGCTCTCGATGGCAACGAGAGCGAACAAAGCAATGGCCAAGTTAATCAACAGGACGCCATTGTACAATGCCCCTAGCGATCCAACCAACGCGCACCCAATCTGCAACAAAGAAATTGCCACGTTTTCTCCAAGAAAAGGAAATAATAAAACAGATAACACCGATAGACGAATCAATCAATAAAACGGAGAAGAAGTGAACCCTAGATCAGATTAGAATTGGAATAGAGAGATACTTGAATGTAAATGAGGACGACGGCGAGATATTGTAGCCTGTCATAGTCGCGAAGCCAAGGCTGTATTCGATCCCTCAGTGAAGCACAAAGCATCATCTATTTTGCTTCGTACATGTATTATTCCATGATTATACAGAAAAGAAGAGTAAAAATGGAAAAGAAAAAAGGCGTCCGATTCCGGTTCTTCGTCTTCTTCCCCCTATAAACCCAACCAAGAATCAACAAAGAAAAACCTCGTGGTTTGATCGAAAAATGAAAAATGGAGAATTAATAGTAAAAAAGAGGAAAAAAAAAAAAAAAAGAGAGAGAGAGAGATTTATATGAACTGGTTTGGCGGGACTGATTACATTCCCTTCATCATGATAATCACTTCGTCACGCTTTCCGAGTCTCTGCACAACTTAAATGCCTTGGCTTCCTCTGCACAATTTTCTTTTTTTTTTTTTTTAACTTTTAATTATTTCCCTAAATTAAATTTTTTAAAATAATAAAATAATAATTTTATATAATATTTTAATTTAATGCGTACTCGAATTATATTCATACCATAATTAAAATTTATTATTAATTTTTAAAATATATTAAACTCTAAACTTTTTTTCTTTTAATTTTTTATATTTTAAAAATATTTTTGTGTTAAATATCGTGCGACGTATAACCATTTATCGTTACAATAAATATTAAGTGAAAGTACATTGATGTATGCAGTTGAGGTATCTTAACGAACCGTTAAACTTGAATTCAAGTCTGCCTACGCGGTGACCTGATGTTCAATATCGGACTCAAATCAGCTTAGAAAGTTGATAATAATTTAATAATTTATGAATTCGTCGTTTCAAATTGTCAACTTATTTCTCCAAGGTTGAGACCCAAAGTTGCAGGTATGTATTTTGATAGTGTTTGGTTGGTTGCTTCTCAAAGCATAGTTATGTGTCACTTTTGTTGAGTTTTGAATAACAAATATTTTCTAAATTTAATTGTTTGTTTGTTTGTTTTTGTGGCATGCTATGAAGATTTGATGGACGGGTGTGCAGCGAGAAATCCCTGGCAGAGAGGCCTTGAGACTTGGAGCCGATGTAAATCAAAATGTTTATGGTTATTCCGACAATTCAAGTACCAGTCTTTGATCAACCATTTTGTTGAAGTTTTCTCTTGCCATGTCTCGATTAGGTTGCTTCTATGGCGTCATTGTTGAGGCGGCGGAGGACTGGTATAAACAAAAGGGTAAACGAGGATATCCGAATTCGAAGTTCATGTTTGATAAGATTCGTAGATATTCCAATTCGTTTTGAATAAATTGCGCTCGACTTATGGAATAATATTATGCCATACATTGCTGCTCAAATGGCAGCTGAGTTTTTAAGGTTTTTTGAATGATACCCATTCCAAGGGGGAAGAAAATTCATTTTTGGATTTTTATATAACATTCGATGCATTTCTTTCCTCTAAAAAAAAAAAAAGAAGATTTGACATTAAAATTAAGAAACTTTGAAACTCTTGGATTTAGGAAAATTGTAAGTGGTGGATGTTTTAAGAACAATTGTTAGAAACAATCGATTTTACTGTTTCCTGTTTGGTAATAGGGTAAGTGGGATAAATGGCATTATTGAATCGGGATGAGAATATATATATATATATATTGACTTTTATGGAACATAGTCTACCAATCAAAACCATGCAATATCAATTTTCTTTATTTTCTACGCGATCGTTGTTTTGACAACTTCAAATTCCACAAGAACAAAAAGATTCAAAGATACAAGTTCAGTGGTGATTGTTCTTTGGGCAAAAAAGTTGGGAGTTGAAATATGAAATATGAAATATTCGGGTTCAGTTATGATTGTTTTTTGGGCAAATAAATACCTACTAGCTTCAAATTTCTCCAAGTACCCTAATTCGCAGAAGGCAGCCAGGTGCCCGAAACTCAGTTCCGATGTCGACTGATGGCGACTGGCAAAACTAATCCGAGCAAGCTGCGGTGGGGGGGGGGGGGGGGGAGCTGGATGAAGACGATGGAGAGGATCGGGACTTCTTGCTGGCGCCGAAGCAGGTCCATGGACCGGACGAGAACGGGATCAAAAAGGTGATCGAATATAAGTTCGACGAGGACGGGAACAGGGTCAAGATCACCACCACGACCCGGGTACGGAAACTCGCCAAGGCTAGGGTTAGCAAACGGGCCATGGAGCGGAGAGGCTGGGCTAAGTTTGGCTATGCGGTCCACGAGGATGTTGGTAGTCGTCTCCCCATGGTCTCGACCGAGGAGATCCTTCTGAACGACCTAGAGCGCCTGGTATATCTCTCTTCTCTCTCTCTCTCTCTCTGTCTGTGTATATGTATGTACGTATACTATATAAGTATATGTAGAGTTTTTATTTGCTGAAATTTTATAAATGAATATGTGGGTAGACAGGATATATATAGCATTGCTCTGGGTTTCTGCTTTCAGTTTGAGTGATTATAGAAAGAGATTTTGTTTTGCTTATTCGTTTATCAAGAGGGGGAAGCTCTGGTTACTTTAGCTATGACTTTGAAATGCTCTTTTTTTTTTTTTATCCGTTAGCTTAAATGCAGAGTTGGATCTTCGGATTCTATAGATTTATTGATTTTAAACTTCATTTGTAGGTTCATTTTGTGCTTGTTTTTTGGAAAATCAATGTTTTGATTGGAGTTCTCAATTATATCTTCATTCATAGCCTCATTCATAGGACTAGATAGATATTGATTTCTCTAAATACTGCAAATGCTCTTCTGTTCTTCAAATTTATTTTTTCAAGATTTACGTATTGAGTTTAAAATAGGTTAAGGTGGCTAATTAGCCAATCACATACTAGCTGCATGGCTGTAATTTTATGTGAATGGTCAGTAGGCTCACCGATAACAGTGCTGTTGGTGCTCTTATACCAATGAAGCTGAAATCTAGTTTCATTTTTAGGTCACTAGCTACATTCATAAAATGTATAGTTCAGTATACCTTGGTCTTTGTTGGGGATTTTGTTTTCCTTGTTTGGAGAATTACTTTTGTGGTTCATTTGCTAATTATGTCTAATTAGCCAATGACATATATGATCCCAATGTGAAAGGCCGGTTAGCTCACCAAAAGAAAGATTTTTTAGCATCTTTTGACACTGAAATAGATGGTTGCTTTTACTTTTTTAGCTTTTAGCTACAGTAATAAGATTCTTCTTTTTTTAAGCCAAAAAAAGTTTATGATCATTCATGAGGCACCAAGGAATTGAGCTAGTAAACATAAGATTTAATTTAAACTAGTGAAATACAGAGGAGTCTCATAATCTTTGTTATGCATTTTCTTTCATAACGATGGACAGTTCATCAATCATGCTTCAACAGCATTGGCTGTTGTTTTGTGTGCGTGGTCCGTAAGGTCAAAAGAGTATAATTTGTTAGTGGCCCTTAATACTGAAGCAGAATGCTCCTCTACTTTTTGTTGTTAACTATATTGATAAAACATGCAACACATTTTATATATTAAATTCTCTTTTGAAGTTTTTCCATTTCTAGGGGAAACAGAAGTCAGAGTTTGTACTGGTACTTGTTAATCAATCTCAGCTTAGCTAAATAATTCTCTCATGTTATGTTGACTCAGAGTGCTCATCTGTATGATGGTTAATCAAAATTAAGCTTCAAGATCCCTTGATAGACTTAATAGTTTCACCATGTAACATTAAAAAAATGCTTACCCTCTTGCCCTATCTATGGCTGTGCGTGTGAGTACCATTTCTGGTATGGTTATTTTTTTTTTCTTTGCAAAAATCTTAGAAATGTGTTTTTGGTTAAGTAGGATATGGGAAGGAAATGAATATTCTTTTTGGGCACTGCGTTGTAGGTTTCTGCATTCAGTTTGATGGTTACAAGAATTGAGTTCTTATTTTGCTTATTTGTTAATTACGAGGGGGAAGCTCTGGTTTGTTACAGTTGCGATTCGATGAAAGGATTATTGAAATGCTCTGTTTTTCTCTCTGGGACCAATGGCAGCACTGGATATTTTTGTTCTTATAGGTTTATGGAAATTAGGTTTCTTCTATAGGTTCCTTTTTATGATTGTTAATTCGGAAGATCAATGCTTGAATTGGACTTCTCATGATATTTAGATATTATTTCTCTAAATACATCAAGTGCCCCTTCTTTTAATTTGTTTGCTTCAGTAGAATTCAAAAACCTTTTAACAGGTTAAGGTGGCTAATTAGCCAATCACATACTAGCCCCATGGCTGTATTTTTTGTGTGAATGGTCAGTAAGCTTACCGATAACAACGCTGTTGGTGGCCTGTTACTGATGAAGCTGAAATCTGGTTTCATTTTTGGGTCACTAATTACATTCTGAAAATTTGTAGTTTGATATACCTTGTTTGATGTGGGATTCGTTTATGTTTCCTTATTTGAAGATGAACTCGCATGGTTCAATTGCAAAGGGTGGTTAATTAGCCAATTGCATGTTTTCGCCTTATGTGAATGAATATTTTTTGTTAGTATCCTTTAACAATAGCAGATATGTGCTTTTACTTTTTGGTTTTTTAGTATGTTTACAAATTGATTGTCTTTCTGAATGCCAAAATGCATAAGATGTTAATGTTCACTTGTGCTTATATGAAAATTGGTTTAACTCTATTATTAAACATAATGTTATATCATTCTTGAGGTGCCAAATGCCACTCACAGACAAGAGAGTTCTGAAATGAAAAGTGGTTTTGAAGTCTTATTTTTTATTTTAATATTAGAACTTGTATTTTTCATGTTGGGGATCACATTCAAAACACCATTAGGAGTGTTGTGTGAATGGTCAGTAAGCTCACCAAGAGGGAACATTTCATCAGTGGTTGTTAAAAGTGAACCAGAATGCTTGTCTTGCTTTTTGGTTGTTAACTATATTGATAAACTGTGCAACAGATTTAGACAAAAAGTTTTCTTCCAAGTTATCATTCCCAGGGGATATGCAGGTCAAATTTTGTATCGGCAGCCTGTTAGTCTATCTCAAGTTACTAAATAGCTCCATACAATATGTGAATCAAAGTTATGCCTGAAGTTTTAGGCTGTTACATCCTGCTCAGTTTTGGAGTTGAAAATTGGATTTGAACATCAAGTTAAAGGACCATTGGGATGGATATGTGTGACATGTTTTTACTATTTTTGGCAACATGTAAATTTAGAAATGATGCAGGTTCGAAACCAGAAGAACCAAAAGTGGCAGGAGATAGCTTGGCTCAACATGGTAAAGGAGGTGCCATCCTCATGGTTTGCAGAACCTGTGGTAAGAAAGGGGACCACTGGACTGTCTCGATGTCCTTACAAGGATCTTGCCCCACAAGCTGAAGGTTTTGTTGATAAACCTGGTGCTTTGGAAACATCTGCTGCGGCTGCAGGAACCGGCAAGTCAACTTATGTTCCTCCAAGCATGAGGGCGGGAGCAGAGAGAAGTGGTGGATCGGATATGAGGCGTAGAAATGACGAGAACTCGGTTCGAGTGACAAACTTATCCGAAGACACTCGGGAACCAGACTTGCTGGAGCTGTTCCGGACATTTGGACCCGTTACTCAGAGTTCATGTTGCGATTGATCAGAAGAGCAGTGTGAGCGGAGGATTTGGTTTTGTCAACTAGGTAAACGGAGAAGATGCTCAGAGAGGTATCAACAAGCTCAGTGGATGTGGTTATGAGAATCTCATCCTCCGGGTGGAATGGGCGACTCCTAGAGCAAACTAGGGACCCGGAAGAGTCTTTTCACATAACCTTGTAATTGTTCTCTTATATATTATACTTTACATATGCATTTCATATGTTTACTCAGGTGTGTGCAAAAATTGCAGTATTGATGATATCTGAAAGGTGATTGTTAAATTTTAATATCTATTGCCATATTAATTAGATTTACCATCACTAAACAATTCATCGATACATATAAACAAGTTATAGATGTCGAAGTGGAAGTGCATTGATGTATGTAGTTCAGATGTTTTAATAGATCAATAGACTCGAATCTTATTTCTACATGATCTAATACACAATACTCAAGTTAGCTTATAAAGTTCGATCATGTTTGGTGATTTATGGGTTTTCTCATTTCTTATAATTCGTTCTTAATTTTTAAAAATATATTGTCAATTTTTGCATATAAAGGATTTATATAATCATCATCACCTTATTTCGAAGTAAAAAAAAAAGAAAAAAAAAAAAAAAAAACCACAAGAGAAATAAACATATTAGTCACAAAACCATCTACAAAAAGGTATAAGGAATAACCTACATAAGATATATATATATATATCTATATGAAGAAGAAACTATGTAACAAAGTGAATTTTTACTTGTACAACTAGTAATTCGAATACATCTTATCTATATTGATAAGTACAAAATGAGATTCACCGAAAAAAGAATTGTACCGTAAAAATAAAGATCTCGTTTTCTTTTAAATATACAATATAAATAAGAATTTATCAAATAAAATATAATTATGTCTAACTTGTTGTCACGTGATAAATTCGTTAATATTATTGATATATAATAATGAGAAAGAGTAATTTAGAATTTTTTTTTTTTAAATGTTAGAGATCAAAATGTTATTTTGAATATTTTAAAATAATACAGTGATTAATTAAATATTTTGATATTCTAAAAATATAAAATGTAATTTTCGTATTTCAAACTATAAAAAAATAAATCTTGTCATATATATTCTTTACAGATTTTGATAATTATTTAATGTTGAAAAATTTAAAAGAAATATTAAACGTTGAGAAGGGGAAAGAGGGAGTAATCGGAGAAGATGAGCGAGGAAGAAGAAGCAAACAGGAATGGGACGTCCACAAGAGCAGCAGCAGAGAAATGGGTGGAGGATCTGCAACGTACCGTAAAGGAATCAAAAGATTCCGCCTTCCGCTCTGCTCGCTCCTTTCAACACAACTCTTCGTCTCATATTCGCTCCTTACAGGTTCTTTCTTCTGCATCATCTGGGAATTTACACAACACCTTCTTTCGTTTGTATTCTTGTAATTCAAAATATTTCTCCTGGTTATTGATGTTTTCTTCGGTTGTTATTTGGGTTAACAGCTTCTCTCTCGTTTTTAAAAAATTTCAGGACTACTTTCCTCATGCGGTGGCCCAGTATAAAACCTATGAAGACGCTTTCTTCAGCAA